CGAGAACTCCCTCCCAGGAGAGATGTCTCCTCCCTAAACCACCAAGCAGCCAGAGACCAGAGAGGCGAAAGGTGCCCACTCAGACTCTATTCTGTGGCAGGGCTTTCTGGTAAGTGCCCAGAGGTTACCTGGGGAACTTCACCTGCGTAGTAAGACCAACCCTGTCCCCACGTGGTTGCCTTGTGCCGGCACTTTCGGTGACACTTTGGGCATTTCAACTCACAGAGAGAATCTTATCTACCAAGTGTCCTCTGAACACAGTGCCCCATTTGCACACAGCCCTTTACCTCTTTTCCTGGGAAGGGGTGTTGAAGCCACAGCTACCTTGACATTTGAGTCAGGAGGGAGCTGAGGCCAGGCCGTTCCAAACACCTAAACCTAACACCCCAGGAGAGGCTGAGACACTGGGTTGGAACCCATCCGAACCAAGGTAGCCCTGGAAGAGCGCAGCCTCACCCTGTGCCCTCCAGTATCGTAATTAGCATGCTGGGTGACAGGGCCCCTGTGCCAGGACAGTTTGGAGTAACCTGGCAACCACTGGACCACTCCAAACAAGGCAGGAAATGGGAGGGAGGGGCCAGCAGGTGGAGTGACGGTTATGGTGTTGGACTGCCATCTGGTGGCACTGTTTGAGTCCTGGACCCGGATGCTTAAACTCACACCAGGCACATGTGCGTGCATGCCCCAAATCTAGAGAGAAGAACGGAGGAGAAAAGATTGTGGTGTGATCATCCCCCCTAGGGTGTGATTTCTTGCTTTTTATCTCTCTGGCGAGCATACACGCCCTATATCAAAACTCTCTCTCTAAAAAAAAAAGAAAATGGGAGAGATAGGGGCCAGCAGGTGGTGTGGTGGCTAAGGTGCTGAATTCCCATATAGATGTCTTATGGTTCAAGACCCAGACCTAGTGACTTGAAAAATAACAACAGATAAATAAGTAAATAAATGCTTAAAAAGTAAAATAAATCTGTAGTTTTAAAGAAAAGAAAATGGGAAGTGTAGTGATTTTTCTCTACTACTCTTTTCACAGAAAAGTCATGAATAAACTGCCTCTTAATTAACCCGGCATTCAGACAAGCCTGGTGTAAGGGTTACATGGCTGGACTCCCACATAGTCAACTGTGGTTTGGATCCCAGACCTGGTGATTTAAAACTCACACTAGTCACATGTGTCTGTGTGCCCAAAATCCCAAGAGGAGAATAGAGAAGAGACTGCGGTGTGACCACCCCTCTTGGGGAGTGACTCTAGCTTTCTGTCTCTCTGGCGAGCACACATGCCTTGTAGCAACAAATCTCTCTTAAAAAAAAGGAAGAAGCTGAGGAGCGGCAGCTGCCCGAGCTGCATGCAGCTATGCACACCTTCCCACTCCCCCATGCCGGCCTCGGCCTGCTCACCAGCTGTAGAAAATGGTGAAAAAAATGATTTACTATGATGTTTTAAGGGTCAAGCCTGATGCTACCCAGGAAGAATTGAAGAAGGCTTACAGTACCACCCTGAAGTACCCTTGAAGTACCACCCTGATAAGAATCCAAATGAAGGCGACAAGTTTAAACAGATTTCTCAAGCTTATGAAGTTCTCTCTGTGGCAAAGAAAAGGGAATTACATGACAAAGGAGGGGAACAGACCATTAAAAAGGGTGGAGCAGGTGGTGGATTTGGTTCCCCAGTGAACATCTTTGATTTAGTTTTTGGAGGAGGAGGACGGATACAGGGAGAAAGAAGAGGTAAAAATGCTGTACATCAGCTGTCGGTAAGCTTAGATGTATGTAATGGTGCAACCAGAAAATGGCCCCTGCAAAAGCATGTGATTTGTGAAAAACGTGAAGGCCAAGGTTGTAAGAAAGGAGCAATAGAGTGCTTTTTGTTTTCTTGGAGAGGTTTTTCCTATAGGGCACGTGCACTCGCCAGAAACACAGAGACAGGGAGACAGAAAGTGAGAAATCACCCCCCAGGGGGGATGGCCACACCACAATCTCTTCTCCTCCATTCTCCTCTTGGGATCTTGCGCATGCACGCGCACACCATGAATTTAAGCCACTGGGTCTAGGACTCAAACTGCAGTTGAATACATGGGAGTCCAGCGACATAGGCATTACGCCAACTGCTGGTCCCAGTAGAGTGCTGTCCCAATTGCCAAGGTACTGGAATGCAAATAAGAATTCATCAGATATGACCTGGGAGGGTTTAGCAAATTCAGTCAGTATGCATGGAATACCCAGGCCCCAGAGAACAGATCAGTCCTAAAGACAGATGTAAAAGTTGCAATGGAAGGAAGATAGTTCAAGAGAAAAAGATTCTAGACGTTCATATTGACAAAGGCATGAAAGATGGCCAGAAGATAACATTCCATGGTGAAGGAGACCAAGAACCAGGACTGGAGCCAGGAGATACTGTTTTTGTACTAGATCAGAAAGACCATGCTGTTTTTACTCCACAAGGAGAAGACCTTTTCATGTGTACGGACATTCAGCTGGTTGAAGCATTGTATGGCTTCCAGAAGCCAAGTTCTACTCTTGACAACCAAACCATAGTCATCACCTCTCAATCCAGGTAGATTGTCAAGCATGGAGATATCAGGTGTGTGTTAAGTGAAGCCATGCCAATTGATCGTAGACCATATGAAAAGGGTCGCCTAATCATTGAATTTAAACTTCCCTGAGAATGGCTGTCTCCTGATAAACTCTCTTTGCTGGAAAAACTTCTACCTGAAAGGAAGGAAGTAGAAGAGACCAATGAAATGGACCAGGCAGAACTGGTGGACTTTGATCCAAATCAGGAAAGACAGCGCCATTACAATGGAGAAGCATATGAGGATGATGAACATCATCCCTGAGGTGTTCAGTGTCAAACCTCTTAATGGGGCCAGTGAATAACACTGCTGGCATTTTATATGCAGCAGTGAATGAGTGAAGGACTGTAATCATAATATGCTCACTACTTGCTATTGTTTT